CCCTACATATATAAAAATATCATATGTTATATTTGTTAAATTTATTGGATAAAACTATTGATGATCAATAAGATTCAGTGTTTTCGATTTCTTTTTGAGGTTTCCTTGACATTATGTAACAACCACATTGACATCTTTTTGGTCCTAATTTTAGTTATTGCATTGGTCACCTAGAGGGATCGACAAGTGACCGCAGTTAGTAAGTTACATGCAAATTATTTAAAAGCCATATATTACACGGTTGATTTGGTATTGCTAATAAGAGAGAATTTGATTTCAGTAAGAAGTTGATATGAAGACTCAAGTAGTTCTCTTAACTTCTGTTTACTGCCTAGAAATCTTGAATACCTGCCCTGCTGTGCTGACTGTTAAGTAAAAATGATGTGTGCCAATTTCCTTGGATTGTGTTTGGTTTGACTAAAAATGAAAGAAAAGAAAACGGAAGGAAAAAGAAAAAAGAACAGAAAAAAAGAAAGGGAATTGAGATTCTTTTCGATGTATGTTCTGGAAGAAAATTGTAAAAGAAATTTGAAGAGAAATGATAAAAGAGTATCTCTTGTTTGCTAGTTCCAAATAAAATGTCATAAATAAGCCATATTAATCCATTCCCTTTTTAAATTATTTTCAGATTTTAAAAATTCTTTTTGATGAGGAAAATATATGCATAAACCATGGAAGTTGTTTGTCTTTGTTTAGGAAAAATCTTATTGAGTGCTGTGTACAAAGCGGGGAAGTAGATTGTGATACATGTCTCACTTTCAATTTTAAATCATTGTAAATAAAACATTAAATCAATACAAACAGTAAAACATAAGTACAAGCTATTGAATATGGTGCAAAAAACACTGAGTCAACAGAAACTATATAAATGTCAAAACAACAATCGATTTTCAATATCCTATAAATTAGGAGAATTGTATGTTTTTTAATTTCTCTATATGATTTCTAAGTGACCCTGTGTATGATTCTTTTAGGGTTTTTTATATGACTCCCAAATCCTCTATATTTTGAATTAGTCCCCCAAATCTTCGTCTTTTGATATTAGTACCCAATTATTTTAAGCATTTTGAAAATAAACTCACTGGTTACAACTGGTTGAAATTGTGGGAAATATGAAGTCATCTCAAACAGTGTTTGAGATGCAATTAGGGGTGCAAACAATTTGGATACGTCTCGGATATGATACTTACAATATCTATATTCGCTTACCAATCATAGATACGGATACAAGTTTGTATAAAGATAAAAACTCATGTCTTCTAAAATCCTATATAGACACACATATTAAGAGGATTAAGATTAAGCGACATTATTGTATATGATAGAATTCCTTGATGTGACATATGGTAAACCTATATATACATGCACACATACACAAACACATATATGTATGTATGAGAAATATGGGTATCCTTGGTATCAATTACCAACTTTAGTTCTTGGTAATGAGGTGGCTCATTCTCATCCACTTATCTAAAATGGGGACCATTTTTAAGTGGGGCTTCTAGTTAAGCGGGGGACCATTTTCAAGTGGGTAGATGAGTGGTGAAAATGTGACCACCTCCCTATCAAGGACCAAGTTTGTCATTGATACTAAGTTCTCTCTCCATGAAAACAATCGATCCTAGGTTCATGTCCATGAAAAGAATAAGACTTTGGGAAATTTCAGTTTGTTTTATTCATAAGATCAATCTATAATCTATATAAGGACTTAGTGAGTGTGTTTTATATAGGCTAAATATGGCTAATTACCCCCATGATTGTAGTGATTTGATTTAACTAATTACCAAGGTTTTAAATATCGGTTATCGGGAATTTATCGGACGGTCAAAATTCTTATCGGATAGCGAAAATCGGGGATATATCGGGGATAAGTAGTATTTATCGGAGTGATATACTAGATGGTGTATATATATAATATAATAACTAAAAAATGTAATCTAACCATGCTTAATGAAATATAAACATACCAAAATGTAAATCATCATGTTTAGAATCACTAACCAATTGTAGAAAGCAAAACTTGCATCTTGACCGCAGATGAAACCATTCGATTGCATAGCCTTACTTATCGGCCGATAATCCCGATAAAAAAACCTTACTTATCGGCCGATAAGTACCGATAACGCCGATAACTCCTCGATAACTTGCCAAAAACGATAACCGATTAAAAATTCAAGTTATCCTATCGGAGAGCTCCCAAATCCGATAACTTGACCGATAATATCGATTATCGGCCGATATTTAAAACAGTGCTAATTACATACATGATTGTAGAGATTTGATATGGTCAAATCTGAGGAGGAATCTAGGACTTTCCTATTTCATATTGTCCTTGGTTGTGGGGATTTGATTCTGTCAATCATCCATGATTTTCTACTCCAATATAACTCCTTTGTCTTGTCTACTTTCAGGATTATTCAGTTTAATTTATTATATGAACCGTATTGCTTTTTTGCTTGAGCTCATGTATTTTGGTATTAGCTACTGGATACCGAGACACGTATCTGTATAACTCTTTTTTAGCAATAGTGATTTGATCTACAATCTCTCACTTTAGCTACTAACTACTTTTTACTGATGTCTATTTATTTGAAATGGTTGAGTGTATTTTTTAAACCAAGGAGTATCCTTTAGTCAATAATACCATAAAAATATAGTAGACGACTGAGAACAACTTTTACAAACAAGACATAAAGTGAATTCTGCCATACAATTTTACACGGATATGGGTGCGGGTGCGGACATGGACACGGGTGCTGATACGAGACACGACAAAATTATAAAAGTTAGGATACAGGAGGTACGACTATATACACATGTAATAAAATTAATAATCCACATGAGATTGATATTATTTGTCATTCACATGTTATGAGAAGTGAGAACTACAATCCTTATACCATTTTTTTTATCAAGTAGATTATAAATTGAAAGATTGATTGTTTTTGAACTACATATCCAGACGTCCCTCCAAAATCATACTTATGAACTAGGTATCCGCTAAAGAGAACCTGTCCCGAGTCCAATGAGTTGCAAAAATTTGAGGTGAAGCGTACGATGTACGTACATTTAATAAGTGTATCGCAACTTTTTGAACTAAAGCATGTATTATATAATTGAGCATATGTCTGAAAATGTATGTATATATTCAAGAAGTATACAAGGACACCGACATTGATATGGGAGCCTAGATGAAGTATCTGGGTAACTTATGTGCCATACCATCATAAAAGCCAAATTACAATTAACTCTTTCTTCTTCTTTACTACTTATGTGCCATACCATCATAAAAGCCAAATTACAATTAACTCTTTCTTCTTCTTTACTACTTTTGATATAAACTTCATGAATATTTTCTTAAAAAAAGAAAAAAAGAAAACAATAAACTGTTATGCGCCTTAATCCATTGATCAAGGCCCAACAGAAAAAAAAACTTGGACCCAACAAAAACCAGACCAAATGAAAACATACTTTTCCCTCAGATCCTCCATATTATCCCATCTTGACCATTTAATATCAAAATTTCCTCTTTAAAATCGATGCACTAACTTTCGATTAGACATCGATACTAATGAAGTAAGTCCTCTAATCATAACTCACAGCATTTACTCTCACTAAGACATTGATCCAGGCAAAGTAAGTCCTCGGGACAAAACAATTCATCTAATTACATCTCACCACATTTTTTTATAAAAAGCCTTCAAATCCCTGTCAATTGCTCACCACCAAATTCATCTTTGATCAATATTCCAAAAATCTTTAAGCAATAATTCCCTCATTACCTAAACTCTAATTAATGGTTGAGAAGTGTCTTCCAGCGAAAGATGTAGCATTAGGAGACAAGAGGAGGAAGAAGGTGAATAGTGTGGAGACTTACAAGGTCTACATTTTTAAAGTTTTGAAGCAGGTTCACTCTGATATCTGTATTTTGAGTAAAGCAAGGAGTGGGTGGGGTTGCACTTTTGACAAATGCGGCAAATGAGAGTTGCAATA